GCTGCAAATACTCGAACAGTGTCCCCTGGCATCACCCCTCGACCAAAAGGGGAGTATACGTACATTACATTACGTGACATTACATTACATACATACATATATCTCCATTTTCATTCCGCGCATTCAGGGAAGTAAGCTGCCTGCTTCAATCATGCAAACTAGCAGCACTCGAGGACGGCTCAACCCGGCGCAGAAATCTGCCTGGAGGGCAACGGGTCACCAGAGATAGGGATACAAACCGTCTCACGCCACGCAGCATCCCGCGCCAAAACCAAAAACAGCTCGGGCCGAACCCCCTCAGCCCGACGCTGTATGGAATAGACCTCTCAACTCGTGCGATACCGCCAGGGAAAGATGCAGGATACCATCCACTCCATTGCCTCAGTGAAAGACGTGTCCCCAGCTGGCAGGTTGTTGTTCTCCTTCGACAGCATGACGCATCCAGATCAACAACAGCTGACTGGTTTGGAGAGCGCGGACTTCATGCTTGAAGCGTCTGCGAGACACTTTTCTGCTGCTGGCAAACCACACATCTTCTTGAAGAGAATGCCCAGCTCATGCAAAGCAACCACCTTTGACCTGCTTGGCATGAGAGGCTCTTCGAGTGCAGAGCCCGATTCTGTCCAAAGCAGCTGTGAGACTAGTCCCTGCTGCAGCCAGCAAGCCGCCCTTGTCCTTCAGCAGCGTGCCCAGCCCATGTGCAACCACTGCCACCTGCGACCCCATGTAAGGCAACCTCCGTGACATGCGTCTCTGTCACTTGCAAGTTGCCCGTCGCCGTCTCCACAATGCACATACACAGCTTTGGCGGAGTGAGTGCCACTGACTTCTGTGGACTGTCTCCAAACACCATGCGTGGCATGCCCAAGGGCTTGTGAGGGAGGTCGCTCAGTTGCTTGCAGGTCGCCCCTGTCCTTGAAGAAGGTAGCAGCTTCCACGTTCCCGGAGGAGTACAAAGGTTCCCAAGTGGCAGCACGAAGCCAGCTGCAACAGCTGGTTTCATCATGAAGTTGCCCGAAAAGAAGCCATCCTCTGCTGTTATGGCTCGGGCCACTCCCTATTCCCGTAGAAGGGCAACCTCTCTGACACACTTACGCTGCCGCCGTCCGGGTCATTGAAAGCATTGGAGAACAGACAACTACCAAGGGCCCCATACTGGTCGGTGCGCTGTGTATTCCCGACCCAGGCGGATACATAGAGAAGGATGGATCGAAGCATAGTTTAGGATAGCAGACTGCACGGACAGAGAAGGGACATATCAAATTAAAACGTGTGTAGAAGATAGAAAAGATACAAAAAGATGCAGTTTTTCCAGCCTTAAAAATGGTGATAAAGCTTCAGGCAAGGATGAGAAACACGTACACGTGCAGTATAGGAGTTGGCCGAGAACAATTTGGGCCAGGCTGGTAAAGGGCGGGTTGAGTCGCGCCGGGTGCTCATGATGCTCGCCGCGTGCCGCCATACCGTGGGGAATGGCCGCAAAACGTGCAGGTCCCGCGGCCCGATGGAGAAACGGTCCCATGATGCAGGGGTCAGTGGCGTTGCCTTCCGCGCCGTGGCAACCAGCACCATGGCCTGCGGCAGCAACCACAGGGCCTTGTACCTGCGCTGCCCAGACAAGCCGATACAAAAGCTTCAAACCGCAAACCATCTGGAACAACGTTTGACAAGAGCTGAGGGGGCCCCCCACTGATGCTGATGATGCACGCCTCGGGTCCCGGACTGGGGCCGCTGATGCTCATGATGCGCGCCCTTTCGGGGCTCCCCATGGCTACCCCAAAATTACGCAAAAAAGCTCGGGCGGCCGCGCTGTTTGCTAAAGCAAAGCTAGCAAGCTACGTCTCGCCTGAGGCTCGGGCTGACAGGGACCGAGCACTGCCCGATTTAAGGGCTAGCGCCGCTGCCGCCGATCCCGCGGAAGCACAGCAGTATGTGGCAGGCAAGCAAACTCTTACTCTTGAAGGTGGTCGCAAGCTTCAAACACTCGACATTCCTCCTGACTACCGGGAACCGGACCCGACATGTGAAGCCTTAGCCGAAGTTTGCGTGCTTGCTGCCTTGCTTACATGTGGCTCCGAGCAACCGCACCTCACGTTTCCAGCCTGCGGTTTAGGGTTTAGGGTTCAAGCTTTGCGATCAACGTCGCGGTGTGAAAGCCACACCCGCAGCACGACTCACTTTCAGCTGTTGGCGCCGCTGTTTGGGTACCTGACGTCGAAAGCGCGCCATCAAGCAGGTATGGAAAGAGGTCCACGAGGTCCTGCGAAAAAGACATTCGTTGCCAATGGGTCTGGTGGGGCAACAACAGCACGTGCGTGCTGTAGAAACATCTGAGGTCATGCCGACAGCGTCGCGTCCAGCTCGACGAGTCGTCTCGTGGCCACGCTACGGAGTGACCATGCGCGAAAGTACAAGTACGTCGTTTCCATCGTTGTCCCGACGGGTCCGTTTGTCCACAAGAAGCGAGGCGGATCACGGACAGGCGCTTGGACGCGAGGCAGCAGCGAGAGCCGAAACGAGGGCGGGGGTTTCGATTCGGTGGTGGGTAGTGAGGGGGAGTAGGAGGTAGGGCGAGGGTGGAGGGGCGCCGGGTAGGGGAGCTTGTAAACCACATTGTTTGCGGAAGGGGTAGGGGGCAGGAGGTAGGCGCAGGGGGCAGTGAGGGCTTTGATTGGAGGGGACAGTCCTGGCGGGAGGCCTACGGAAGGTTTTTGGTGACCTGCACGCGTATTTGCGTCATTTCTGAACCACACACAAAAAACAGGAGAGGTACGGTATAGGGGGTACGGGCGCCGGGTAGAGGAAGGCTTGGAGACAAGCGTGCGGGTGTCGGGGGTAGCGGAAGGGGCAACTGGCTTCCCCGGCGCTCGACCACACAAGCGGCGTCGGCGGACATGCGCACACTTTTGTCGATTATACTGATGAAGACATGCCCTCTTGGCCTGTACCCAAGTCTCACCGAGAAGCACAAACAGTGATACAAGAACGTGAAAGATATCAGAATCTGAAGTTTACCACAACACGAAAATCCCCATATGTAGACAAACTACTCACCATTGCGACTTGCTTATATCGTCTCTTCGGCTCTACGTGATATAGCACATGCAGGCTTAGCTATGTTGAAGCGGCCCATTGTGTGATGCCTACGTCCGAGGTAGACACCCAGGCAAACAGCGGGAGCCGAAGCCAGGACAGAAGCAGCATGGCTTTTGGCGCATAGAGTGTTCGTGTTGTTTGCCTCTCTGCTTCTGCATTGCTTGCAAGCTTACGTGCTCCGTGCTTGCCGAGTTTCCTGGCCTGCGACTCAACGCGGCACTCAATCGCTCGCACCGGAAACGACAACTCACCATTGCTCAGCAAGCACTCGAGGAAAGCAACACACCCGAAAGTGACACCACAAGGTTGAAACATAGGTGGGACTTCCAGTCTGAGAGGCGGGTGTCATCAGCAGCACGAGCGTCAACAGCTTCGTTGCCTACGAGATAGATGCCAGAATGCCGCCTCAGAGCACATGGGCCGCAATTGCGGAGATCACGTCGTCGCTCGGGGGCTCTATCCTAAACGACCCCGCCGGTGGACATCGGCATGGACATGCTGCGAGTTGTCATTCGAGGGAACTGCAGCAGGAAAGCAGTAGCCTTTGTGGAGAGATCCACATGATCCACCAGGCCATCAGTCCGGAACTGGTCACAAGATGCTGAATGAACCTCGCGGGTCTGATTCAGCACAACCCAGAGTGGGTGGACGTGGGGGGGCGGGGAGGTGGCTGGGTGTGTGTGTGCAGACAAATGATTGGCCATGCTTCATGCACCAATCGGAAGTGCTAGTAGTGGGATTGCAGCAGGCCCACAGTCATCGGTCGATCAAACTGCAAGTGTGAGCACCACGGTTTTTCCGTCATGATGCCGTGTTGGCCTTCGGTGGGGGTGGTCGGTGAGTGTGCTGATCAGCGGTTTGAGTGCAAGTGCTGAAAAACTTTCGGCTAGTAGTTGGGCAGGTGAATTACATCGATTATTGTCAATTGTGTCTTGACGTTTTACACTTTTCTCAGCGAAATCATGGGCATGTGCATCTGACATGAGGGCTAGTGCAGTAAGTAGGCTTCCACTACCTGTTTCGCTGACGGCCTTGAGCAAACCCCACCCCATCACACACCGCCATGCAACAGCAAAGCCGTCAGCATCAAAGACAAGCCTTCATACCTGTACTGTGCGAGGAGGGAACGGCCGGGCGGAAGTCTATGGCTTCGCTGGATTCAGAAGAGGCTGCAAAAGCTCTTGCATTTGCAAGTTTCGTGAACTCCCGGGTGCCTGAGTTTGGTACCAAGACTTCTGCACCCCACGAGGAGGACCGGAACGGTGGAATCGAGCACGGTGATTCTCGCCTGTGCCTGACGTGACTTGGCCGATAAAGGATTGGGCTGCAAAGCGAAGCAAAGCCAAGCAACGGTAGGAACTCAGAACTCCTGATCGGTTGCCCCCGAAGATGCTGCCAGGTCCGGGATGGCAGGTCTGAGCCCAGCCGAGATCCGTGCCATAAGGCCAGCGCTGTGGATGCGTTTCGGAGAGTGGCTCTCGACGTTCCGGACATGGGGGGTTAGGTCTTTGCAGCCCCCTGGCCATCTTCACCCTTGACTGGAGCTGGTATATCGATTGATGCTCTTAACATCTCTTAACAGTCAGCATGATCAACAGAGCCTTGGTTCGAGGCACAGGCTGCGGGTGAGATTGGGCAAGATCTCCTCCATGAAGCTCGTTTCAGGGAAAAATCTGCGCCCACGGCCGACACAGCAAAGCTTTGTTTATGGGAGTGGGATTTTTCAACAACTCACATCTTTGTCGGCAGCATGTTTGAGGTCTCCACCGAGGCTTCCAATTGTGATGCAATGCTTCAGTCCTCCCCATGCCCCATGCCCGAAGCGAGTTGCCTTCGATTGGGCTTTGCAGGCACGATGCCGTGTCGGGACTGGGATTGACAAGCTACACGGTCGAGGACCTTCGGCAAAGCACCACGACCAGAAAAGCCCAGCGAGTCGCAGCTTTTGGACCCCGGCAGGACATGAATGATTTCGTGAACCACCTGGCAACATTTGTTGGTCTGGACTTCGAAGATCTGCCGGAAGAGACTCTCAGACACATCGGGCTTTGTAACCAGAGCGGAACCGTCTGACATTCACCTGAATACCAAAAGCCCGCCCTTAGTTGTCTCCGCAGCTGCTGCGGTTTGCTCGCGGTCCGAAACTGGCACGGCATGTAGCAGGGACTACTTTTCAAGTCGTCCCTCACACGACGGAACCAGCTGCGTGCATGTCCTGCACATCTCCGCCTCAAACGCACCCTTACATCAAACGTCATGTCCCACCTTGCGCCAGTTGCCGACCAAGATGTGCCACCAAGCAGCACCAAGGAAGGGCTGGGGTGGAGCGATTGGCATGGACTCGATGTCGACCGGTAACTGGGCGAAACACTGACATGCGGGTCAGAGAAGCACGTGCAGCAGCACACATCTCCCGAAGGTTAGTCCACGGTAGTCCCAGTGTGTCGTTCGTGTCTGGTGGTTGAGGTATCAGCATGTTTGGCTTTGGTGGGGCCAGTGAGAGGCAGAAAGACTTCAGCGAGCCGATCTGGGAGTGGCCGACTCTCAAGGACAGGCCGAAGATGAGGCCACAGGCAGGCTCTGAGCCTGGGGCGACGCGACTGGTGAACCTGCCAGGACGGAACGAACGGCCACCCAAGCCATCAAGTTTCTTCCCACAGTCTCCCACCGCAGCCCGGCAAAGGACGTTGACGAGCAGTCGAGTTCGAAAGATTGAAAGTCCGGCAGTCTTCCTTGAGAAGCACCCATCACGGAGCTCGCCAGGCTGCACCATTCCAACACGGCGAGCTCGCACACCTCGGCCGAGAAGCACGAGAGATGCAACTACAACTTGGTGCCCAGGCCAGGTCTTTGCCCGGAAACCGTCATGCCAAGCAAGAGTCTTGCATGTAGGCCTTCCTTTGAAGTGAGGGTACAGCGGAATTGTCGAAGTCCTTGTGCTGGCAGGCAGGTGCTCATCGAGGTCATGATGGCCCAAGAAGGCGACACTTGGATTCATGAGACTGCTGCATCTTCTGCCCGGGCCTGATCAGCAGAAGCTCGCTCGGCTGCGATCTCCCAGTCTCCGTCTCAGTGAGGACATCCACAAGCGGATCTTCGGTGCGAAGTTGCTTCAGCAGTTCAAGGCAGATTGCCATGATACATCCTTCCCCCAGAGCTGCCAGAGTCGACATGCTCAGGCTGCAGATGTCTCCAGAGTGTAGATCGGCCTGACATGCCCACATACGTTTGCCATCTCTGACCAGACTCTCCATCGAAAGCACAGTGAGGCTATCAAAGAAATTCTACTCGCTGGCGACACGAACCGCTTGGCAGCGCAGCTCAATAGTTCGGCCCTCCAGAAATGCGTCCCTCTCACACAAATCGGGCCAGCACAGTTGCATAAGAGTTTTCAGCCCTTGTGTGTGAAGCCATTAGTAGTTAGTATTGTTCGGATACTGCGGACAGTAGGCTTTTCCGTTTCTTTGTGCCTTGTTGGCGACCACGCTCGTGGTCCCGCGATAAATCTTCCACCTTTGCAAGCGAGAGACTTTCCGTAAGCTCTAAACTATAAGTCTACTGAAAGCTAAACCCTCAACTCAAGGTGGCAGAACTCCAGAGTAAGGGTGTGACGAGAACATGATGATAGGTGGCAGAACTCACCTTCGTCCGCATCAACGACCTTGCAGCACCGCCCGACGAAGCAGCTCGGGCGGCACAGGTGGCACCGCCTGCCAGAAGCAAAAAGATGCGAAAAGTTCGGAGTTCCTATGGTAGGCATATGTAATCATGATTGGGTGTCAAGGTGGGAAGTAGTCCAGGGTGCGTTTGCATATTTGCAATCTCCTTTCCACATGGAAGAGATGTTGAACCACAGAGAGGAACACCGGCTTTCCAAAAGACAGGGGGAAGGAAAAAAGCGATCTGGTGAGCTGGTAAAGCTAGACAGTGATGTCAATCCTGGCACTAACAAAGCTTTTCGACATCCACCGAGCAACAAGGGATGAGGGTCGGGTTTAGGACAGGATCTGGGGTTTGGGGTTCATGGTCTATAGGGATGGGGTGGATACTCGAAAATGGGATCATGCATTAGGTCAGCTTGTTGACCTACCTGGAGCCTTTCGTCGGCCTCGTCATTGTGGCGAATGGCATCATGATCGGTTTTCAAACAAGCTCCTTCGCCCAGATCCTTATGAGGGGTAAGCTCGACGCCTGAACTGTACAAGTTTCTGATGTCGAGGGTCTTCTGGTTTGTGTAGCCATTCATTCGGTGCAGATACAGACTTGTGCCTTAGTTTAATGCAGTCTTCACCGGTATTTTCGAAGCAATGCACAGAAGAACAACTAAAGATAAGCCCATGTTTAAACAATGTAGGCATCATGAGACCACGGGAGCAGAAAACCAACACCCATGCACGTCAACTACGAACCCAAGACAAGCTGTTGCCAGCTAAGCAGGAAGGGTGATCGAGAGTGATATTGCAAACGGAGGGGTAGCTGCTTGGTGAGAAGAGAGCATACGATTACGCAAACAAGGAAGAATGCATTTTAACAGGCAGGGAAAGCGAACACTAGACACAGACAAGCAACCAGTGTCTCAAGTTCTCTTGTAATTATCTTACCGCAACTTCCCACAAGCAGCCTGCATGCAATCAGAATCATCGCCAAGAACACGTACATAAATTGTTCAGTCTCGGGGCAGCCGAAATCATTTGCAAGCTGCACCGACTCCGTATGTACACGTTTCGATCACAATAAGACCACAGCCGTACCCAACCATTGCAACGTGCCGGACTCTGTCCTGCAAATAGAACAAAACAGGCGTTGAGGTTGACACCTTAGGTGTCGACTTCTGCTGCTCCACGTTGCGGGTGTCTTCGTTCATCGAGAACCATGGACATAAGTTCCGAGTCACATTGACAGTGTGCACTTGCATCGGCACCGCTACGGCCCCCAAAACACTTTGCAAACGGCAGGGCGGGGTACAGTTCTGCCTTAATCCTGCGCACACGAACAAACGAAGGATCGACCAAGGGAACATCGATTTACTTCAGCTAGGGTTCATGGCATTAATATACTGCCAAAAGCTTGCGGCATGTTGCGAAGAACACTCAACCATGACACTGTAGTTGTCAGCTTGAGCTGCTGTGACCAGCCAAAATCGAGAATCCGACAGGGATAACCCACTGTACATTGAAAGGATCCAGGCCGAAGCTATGCATCAAGAAGGAGAGCATTCTCAACATTTACTGCCAGGGAGAGTCTATTTGCTGTGCCACATAGTGCCACTGGGTTTTGAGCCACATTCGGCAGAGCCCCGCATCCTCAGCCCAATGTCGAAGCTCCACCTTCCGCACTTTGCCATGCAAGCATGCCCGTTGTGCCTGAGGCCTTGAATACGAGAACTGGTCTGGCTGGGTCTATGTGGAGATGGTTTTCGCTTGCATCCTGCTGCTGGAGCCACATGATCACATGTGCATGGCAATCGCAAACTAATACGCAGCATTGAGGAGCTACATACATGCGTTCATTCGTGCCTGCCAGCATACCTACCTACCATCGGTTCCAATGATCAGGCCTTCGCCGACAGTCATTTCCATATGTTCCATCTCCGGGCTGGAACCCATTTAACATGTTGTTGAACCGGTTGGAGTTGTTTCTGCCGTCGCAGAAGTCTTGCGATCAGCAGCGCCGGGCGGATCTTCGTGTTTATGCGAAGGAGCTTCTGCTGCGCCTCCGACTGCTCAAGTGCCGCAACTTCTGGTGTGGTGCTGAGAGGCGATTTCGCAACATACATCAAGACGTACTCGACCGAGAAATCATCTGGGGTTTGGGAACTTCACGAGAGCTTTGCGGCTTGCGGGTGATGCGGGTGAAGATGTTGAGAAGATGTAGCAGGAAGTAGGAAGTGCCACTAACTGCCGAGAGTTCGGTTGACAACCTGTGCCTGTGTGCCTTCGAGGATCGTACGTGCAGAGCATTCAACATGTTCAAATGAATCAGTTTGCATCAGCATACCTTTATCACCTTAATCGCTACGGCTGCAGCGATATCTTCAACCGGACTGCACACTGCTTGCCTTCCGTGACTGCGACGCTCTTTTGAATTGCAGCATAGATTCATGAATTTGCAAGAAGCATGCGGGTTGAGGAATGTCTAAGTTCTTCAGAGAAGCACATTGCACGTGCCCTGAAAGAAACATTGGCTCATGTAAAGCGAGTTGACCTTGAAGGATGTGTACCGGTGGCAAAGTTGTTGGATGTTGTTGGACAGCTGCGTGGGTTGACAATTGTGTGGAAGCACAGGTCTGAATGCCATATTTGAGACATGTGCGGAGGCACAATCACTGAGGTGCGAATGCAGCTCCGGCTCAGTTCCCCTTTTCTCATTTTGAGGTGGGGATTCCGGAGCCATGACAGAGTCCTGGGAGGAATTCTTGAAGAAGGTTGAGAATCCTTCTCCTGGCGCGGCAGTGGTCAATGCCACGATCGCTTGGTTCAAAGACAAACTGCAAGTGGCTCATCCATCCCTTGCAGAAGGATACTCTGAAGATCAGATTGCCACGCAGTTGCCAAGCGAGTTGCCAGTTCAAGCATGCATTAAAAGAGTGCTGCGAGCAGTGGAGTCTATTGCTCAAGCGCGGAGGATGGTTCAGGCCAGTGGAGCTGCGACAACAGCAGCCAGCATGCCAACGACGTCTGCGCAGAGCTTGGCCAAACTCTTGGTGCCAACCAAGACAGCAGACGTTGCAGCGTTGCTTCAAAAGGCGAGTTTAGACAACCTGTCTTTCGGCTTGCAAGCCGAGCAAGCTCTGTGGAACAGCATGCAGCAGCATGCAGAGGACTGTAAATCATCCTCCCGCACGCCTTTTCTGTATGTTGATCTAACAGCAAAAGAGACGTTGCCGATGTGGCTCACACCGGACTTGATCGGCGGCAAGTTCCAGATGCACGAGGAAGGCGAGTGGCCGTTGCAAGGCAATGTTCCAATCGCCTCACTCAACGACTTGGGCAAAGCGTTGAAAAGTGCAATTGCCTCACCAAGGTTCTTCAGGACGTCATCGCAATGGTGTGGCGCTTTCTAGCGCTACGCTGTAGTAGCGGTGGCCACATCGCAGCTCTCGTGGCAATGCGTTTTGACCCATATGGACATTGTTCTGCAGTTAGTTGAGCAAGAGCGCATGAAAGGAAACCCTCCCCTTGTTGCGTTTCTGTACGACGAACTGTTGCGAAAAAGCTGGGCAAGAAGGGCCGAAAAAGGTGATCCTGCTTTGGATATCCCTGCAGAAGTCAAGAAAGTCGACAAGGACATCTTGGACATTGCACGACATCGGCTCACGGAGGTCATGAAAGCCACCGGCCTTTCAGAGGGAGCAAGTGCGTCGAGAGGTTCTGCTCCGTCCAGTGCGTCTGATGACGCCATGTCGAAGCAACTGGCCGTCTCCCAAATGGCCCAGAAGCATGCTGAGAGGGCTGCCAGGCAACTTGCAGAGATGCAGCAACTGATTCTGCAGCAAGGCCGAACGATGACGGCCCAGAATCAGAGTGACGAAGAGGCTCCAGAGAAGCTCACCAAGAAGCAGCTCAAGTCCCAGAAGTGGTTTTCAAAGTTGAAGCAACGGCGCGAAGAGCAGACGAACAAGAAGAAAAGGCCTTGGAATGGCAATCAGCACTGACAAAGCGACGACACTGTAGTGAAAGCTGGACGGTGCGCAATGCCCGAGGTGTTGCAAGAGCTGCCTTCGATCGAGAGTCTTCTGGTCACTGACAGTTGCCAGCCTTGTTTTCTTGAAGTTTTTGCAGGCAAGGCAGTTTTGACGATGGCCATGATGGCCATGTCCATTCCGTGCGCAAAGCCATGGGATGTTGTGTATGGAGAGCAGTTTGACGTGCTCAAGCATGGCGAAGTCTTGATTGATGCCGTTAAAGCGGGCCGTGTAGCACATATGCATTTTGGCACGCTTTGCCAGTCCATGACGTGGGCAAGGAGCCCGCAGCTCCGTTCGGAAGAGTGGCCTCTGGGCAAGCCAGGCTTGTCCAACAAACAAAGTCTTTTAGTGCGTAGAGGAAACGCCTTGGCAGCCTTCACAGCTAAGCTGTGCTTGCTGCTGTGGAGTGTCGGAGCGACGTTCTCTGTCGAAAACCCGGAGCTATCATGGCTATGGCTGCTTCCCGGGTTGCTCCAGCTTAGAGCTTTGGCAGGAGTGCAATTTGTTCGAATGAAGTTCTGTGATTTCAATGTTCCGTTTTTCAAGCCTACCTTGTTCTTGCATAATGTTCCAACTTGCCATCGGGCGGGCCTTAAGACAGTACCTTGGCGGAGATCGCTGATAAGGTTGCGGGGCCAAGTCTGGACCGAAGGCAGGTGGGTGTTTAAGACAAAACTGTCGCAGACGTACCCACCACTACTGTGCCTTCGGTTGGCCGAGTTGATGCAAGAGGGGTGGGGCGCACAGGCAGGTGCACATGCTTGTGCAGGGTTCATGTTGCCCACGCTTCTACATGACTCTTTAGATCCAAAGGCTACCGAGTTGGAGCTGCCTCCGACCTTGGTGCCTCACGGATTAGGGGCCATGTGTGGATAGGATCCTTTGCAGCATGTTGCTTTTGCCACTCGCATTTCGCATCCAAGTGAAACACCAAAGATGCTGGATTCGGATTTGATTGATGCCATTAATTTTGAATGTCAGGCATCCCTCGAACAAATCCACAATCTTCGCGAGCGGCAGCTAAGACATATTTTACATGTTGCAGCACAACTTGAAGATGACAGAGTTTCGTGGTTGCAGGGAGTTCCTTCCGAATTGAGAAAGCTTGCAAAGCAGATCCACGGACCGCTGTGGAAATGCCTGCTGGCCATGCCTGGCATTGAATCCGAGGAATTTCTTGCCGACTTGCAAATAGAGCTTCCGCTTTGTGAAGGCGCAGCCGAAGAACATGGCCTCGAGGCGGGCATGACTGTCAATGAGTTGAGAGAGAATCGCAGCCTGTTCAATCAGAAAGTGGTCTCTGCTGTAAAAGAACTTCCCTTTTCCAACGACATCATTCCACAAGTGTGGGAAGATTTCGAGTTGGGTGCCATGAGTCAGCCGCGACCTTTGGAACCTGCTGACATGCAGCGAGTGTCGCTTACGCGGAGGATACCTGTGAGGGAATTGCGGTCCAAGGGATGGCGTACGCGTGTCGTAGACCACGAGACTGAAAGTGGAATCAATGGCGCCACCACCCCGGCTGACAGGATCAAGCATGACACACTGGATGTTCTTGCCGAGATTGTGCTGTTGTTTTTCGGCACTGGGCATGACGTGCGGATGTGGAAACGAGATGTTTCCAAAGCATTCCGGAGAGTGCCCATCAGAAACGAGCACCGCGAATTTGCGTACTCATGGTCTGATCAGGGTGTGCTGTGGGTTGCTGAACACAAAGGCATGCCGTTCGGAACTGTCTCCGCTGTGTATGCCTGGGCCACATGCTGAAGACACTTGTTCTGCGTCTTTTTAAAGCGCCTGTGGCTCGTTTTGTTGATGATTTTTTCGGTGCAAGCAAGGTGGGCATCAAACTCACTGGCGGTATTATGTTTAGTATTCTTGCATCTTTGCTGGGCTTTCCCACAGACCCGGCAAAGGACAGTGATCAATGCTCCAACATGATTGTTTTGGGCGCCTGTTGCACAGCTGATTTTTCGAGAAAAGTTTTGAACACGCATGTTGAACTTGCAAAGGCTGCCAAGTACTTGGAATCGCTTAGGGGCGTGCTTGATGCCGGCACACTGGCCCCTGGTGATGCCTCCAAGTTGGCAGGGCGCTTGTCGTTCTCGGTCACAGTTACTGGTAACCGGGTGGGCAGGGCCTACATAAAGCCCTTTTATGCTCAAACGCATGCCCCTTTACCCGTGAACGGCCTGTCACCGTGGCTGCGGCAAGCCGCCGTGTGGTTTACTCAATACTTGTCAAACGCGCCGTCGTCGGAGCGTCGTGGCAGTTGGGAAGACCGTACACGCGTTGTGTCATGGAGTGATGCGGCAGGAGCTTCCAGATGGGTAGCTGCCGTGGTCCATGTTAATGGAAAGTTCTGGTGGACCAGAACGCAGACTCCAGACTCGTTGTGGTGCCTACTCCTTGATCGGGGTGACCACCAGATTGGTTTCCAAGAACTGCTCGGGATCCTTCTGGCCTGGGGCACGTTTCACCAGTTGTTGAACGGATCGCATTGGATTGCATTTGTAGATAATGACAGTGTTTTGCACTCCATCACTCGCGGAGGCGGCGGGGGGCCCGAGTCCTTTTCTTGTATTGGGCGACTGTGGCTGGAACTGGCCCACAATCAGGTTGATCTTCACTGTGCCCGAGTGGAGTCGGACGCGAACATCGCAGACGGACCCACGAGGGACAGGTTTGACCTGATAGGCCGATTGAAAGCCGAGTGGGTGGAACCCAAGCTGCCCCCGTGGGTGTGGCAGTTGTGGCAAGTAGCCGATCCCAGACAGCAGTGAGTGTTTCGAGAGAGCGCAAAGTCGTGGTTACAACTGCAAGTCTCGTGCACATGATGCTAATGTTCTGTTCGCACTTTCGCCCTGTCAGGTGACAAGCCGTGGCGCATCCTGGCCCAAAAAGGCAGGAAGAACCTGATGGAGGCTTCGACAGTGCGCCAGAAGTTGTCCTGCAAGCTGTCGTACATAAAAGCGTCGCAATGGGTGACGGACGTTCTGCGAGCTTTCACGATTTCAGATCAAAAATTCCTGGATTCGGCAATTAAGACAGCAGAAAACCTCCAGCTGGACAGTGATGACGTGGCGGTGTCAGGCGTTGCAGTGGTTCTTGGTTCCAAAGAGATATGGGCTGCGCAACCAGAACAGTACCACAAGAGGCGCGAACAGACGATCTCCAAATGGCGGCGCTTGCCGCGTGGGTCTGCCAAGCCACGTCATCCAATGGGGGGCTTGGCGCCGCACGATTTCAAGGCCAAAGTAGCGAGCATGGCTCACTGGTTTGCGGGGGTTGATGGGGTTGCTGAAGTTGCTGCATGGCATCATAAAGCTGCGATGCAGTTGGTCGGTCGAGGTTTCTCGTGCCCTGAACATCTCGACGGACTACGCGAGGAGGATATGTGCAAGTTCGCCGAAGACGAGAAAGCCAGGTGTCTCTTCAAACAAGCGTTGCAGCAGATTGGCCAGGATGCAAGGCGTCGCAGAAAACGCTTGGCTGAGCAAGTCAGCCAGGAAGAAGCATCTAAACCAGTTTCCGCAGAACTGGTGGCTCAGGCTGTTCAAAACAGCAAAGAGGCACCGAAAGAAGCTGCAGAGGCACAGGTCAGTCACGGCCGGGGGCCGCGAGGGGTCATGAAAGCTTGGGCCAATATGTCACCCGATGCAGCGGTGAGACATTTGCAGCAAAGAGCTGAAACCCTCAAACTTTGTTCTCAGCAAGGAAGCGGTCCGGCAGTGGCATCTGGACTTAGGGCGTGGCATCAGTTTGCGGTGTCCTTTCTGGAATACCCACCGGGTGAGACATTGCCTCCAAAGACAGCCGGCGACGTATTGAAGTTCATTGCAGACGTCTGCAGGTACGGCAAAGAACTACATCGGATACCTAGCTTGGGCATGCAAATTCCGCGCTTTGTCGCTGGAATGGCGCAGTCAGGAGCTTGAGTTGGCGCTGCGTGGCCTGTTGAAAACCGAGCAGTCCATAGGCAGAAGCTGCATGGACTCAGCTCCTGTGCTGTCAACGCAGATCGTCACTCAGTTGGTGCACATTTGCGACTCTCTGCCAGGATTCTCTGATGATGCTGATTTGTACGTTCTGGCGTGGCAGTTCCTGCTACGTGTTCAATCAGAAGCAGTCTCCTTGCAAGGCGGGGCCGAGTCGGAAGCTGCTGGTCTGCCGCAGGGGCGCCATTCAGGAGTCTGGGTGGACAGCAACTTCGTCTGTCATTTGCAGCTTCGAAAGCGCAAGCACATGCCAAAGGGATCTATCATGACGAGGCCGTGCACATGCCGAGGAAGCGAGCCTGATAGATTATGTGTTTCTCACAGGCTTCACAGGCGGTTGCAACAAACAGCTCCGGGCCAGGCGTTGTTCAACAAGACAGCGCCGCAGCTCCTGAAACGCTTCAGGGACCTGCTGTGTTTATTAAAGATTCCTGGTTCAGAACGATTTGGGTTCAAGGCATTCCGAGCAGGCAAGGCAACGGATTTGGCAAAATCTGGATGTCCAGTGCACATCATCATGATGATGGGCCAGTGGCGGTCTGCCGCTTTGCTGCGATATGTCAGCCCAGATGCTCTGGATGAGGGCGTCTTTTGGAAAGAAGTAGCCAATGAGCCGGAATCAGAAGAGTAGGCAGGATTGCTTTAAGGTGGGGGTGTCGAATCAGCAGCGTTGGGTAGGGCGACGTTGGGGAAGTGAGTTATTTGATGCAGTATCTGACTGCACGAGCTCCTTGAAGGGCTATGCTTGATCGGCTGGAAAGCTCCAGTCATCAGTCAGGATCAAGTGCCTCTGTTTCCTTGTTGCTCTGCGATATTCCCAACGATGCAAGTGCAGAGCAATGCAAAAGCTGCTGATTCGTACGCCGGCTTGTTTACATTTTGGGGATCTGAAGCAGGAGAGTGATTGTGTGGAAGCACAGGTCTGAATGCCATATTTGAGACATGTGCGGAGGCACAATCACTGAGGTGCGAATGCAGCTCCGGCTCAGTTCCCCTTTTCTCATTTTGCCCACCCGAGTCCCTCCCTGTTATCTGAATCCATGCATGCAGTATCTGACTGCACGAGCTCCTTGAAGGGCTATGCTTGATCGGCTGGAAAGCTCCAGTCATCAGTCAGGATCAAATGCGTCTGCTTCCTTGTTGCTCTGCGATATTCCCAACGATGCAAGTGCAGAGCAATGCAAAAGCTGCTGATTCGTACGCCGGCTTGTTTACATTTTGGGGATCTGAAGCAGGAGAGTGATTGTGTGACACTGTATTGTCAATTGTCGACCGCACAACTACAGTAGTAGCGCCGAGACGGGAGGCGGTCGAAGTCAGTAGCGATGCTGAGGAGTCGACCTGGTTTCCACGCGTGTCTAGGGCCTAGGGTGTCGAGTCGTTCAGTGCTAGTGGTTCTGCGAAGACCCGACCTTATCAGAGGACATTTTCGTTTTGCCCGGGTTTCATGCATGCATACCCCTTGAAAGCAACACCAGCCCAGTCCACTGGTTGAATATATGGCTGCTCTGGCAACTGCAGAAGAAACGTTACTGGCCCGCGTGCCTCTCCACCTCTTTCTGCAGTATTCACTGTTGAGTTACATAGTATCTTATACTGCACGGCACAGTGTGTCGACTCCCAAGTTCCGTGGTCATCGCCCCAGTTTTGTCACAAGCCTCAACTGAGCCGTTCGGCAGGCTATGGAACTGGTTCGATGCCTTCTTGGGCGCAATGGCCATCACAGATGCTGCGCTGCAGCTGATTTGGCAGGCACAAAGCATTTGCCGGTTCCAAAACGCCGGTCACGCGTGCAGTTGCCCGAGTCACATGTTCGTGCAACCGGGAGACTGGCACGTCCTACCTGTAGGGCTCAGCCGCAACGAGCCGTCGAGCTTGCCAACGCGACCATTCCGATGAACCTAGCTTCCGAATGAACGAGGGGTGGCTGGTGGTACCAATGTGTTTGTGATTCCGGTGTTCGCGACAGGCAAGCACAGAGATGGACGGTGCCAACCTGTTGCGTTTCTGCCGACTGCACCTTGGAAATACACATGTCTGCCGATCTCAGTGATGCACTGCGCTTTGCATCTGGGTGTTGAGGTTCCTGTTTGCGATGCAAGGGCGGTGCTTCATATAACACATATACCGAGAAAGTCGTTTGGCCAACGAATCACGACAGACCGGGACCCATGGTGTCCACTCGGCTTGATCCGCGTCGAAGGTTGCGCTTGGCGCGGATTGTGAAAGTCTTCCGTCTCAAGTTCATGAGCCACTCAGATGTGCACTGCAGCGCTAACTGGGACCTGCCTGTGTACAGTCCTAGGAGGCTGAGATTCTTAATTTGGAGGTTTGCTAGTTTGGACATGCTTGTGTACTGTTACAGCCCTTGTAAACGTTAAGAATCTGTCGTCAGAATTCAATGAAGGCCTCAAATTGTTAAGTTAGTGGCACGTCGCCCTTGGCTGAAATATATCAATGGGCGGTGATATTCACCCCCTCAAAGTCTCAGGCAATGAGTTCTTAGCCAATGCTTTCTCTGCAAGTGTGTTTGCCCAGACACAGACTGGCCCAGCCCATTCCTTTATGGTGGCCACTTGCGTGTGCTGAGTCAAGCCGTTGAAGCCCGTGATTGATGGATAGAGCGCAGGAGTAAGCGAGGGTTTTGAGAAAGAGCTGCTACGGGAACCAATTACGCCAATGGTGCACGAGCGGGAAACCTGAGATCACTCCACAGGGATCGAGTTCTCAAGGTATACGTAGCTTCCCGTGCCTCACGCAAAACAATGCATGCCACCGTTGGAGAAGAGACAACGGCATGTCGGAATTACGAGTGTGTTGTATCGACATCGCGAACCCTTAGTCAGCAGCATTCTGTTGTGGGAATCCGCCATGTTCAGTAAGACCTTAGGTTCTCCAGCTCGAAATACTGGTCCCATGATTCGAAACCCTTGACCGGCCTTAGGCCGAATAGCAACTATTGCTTCTGATGCCACTGATTCAGGAGATTTGCGCCTCATGATCAAAGGACTTGTTGCCGGAGTATGGACACTGTCACTCAGCTGAGTTGATGAGTGTGCGCATGTGGCCACAAAAACACGAATGATGTCTCGAAGGGTTGATGCCTCAAGTTCCACACTAAGCAAATGAGGGTTTAGGATTTAGCTTGGCAGATGCGCACCACCTGTGCTGCACTGCCGCTCGACTTTTTTGAATGTCCGCCAGAGCAGAGTTTGTACAGGGTTGGTTCTACTTTCCGCTGCACCGCCGCATGAAAGCAGAATGAGGGGAAAAGTATCTTGAAGCCTTGCTTGAGTCTCGTAGTGAGCCGCTTCGGCAGTTGTTGACGACAGGGCAGACAGGTTTGTTTGACGACATCAGACGCCTCAGTGCATCAAGAAGCTATAGAGGTGCGCTTGGCACTGCTATCCGATATCCTTTCTGCGCAGCTTTGAGGTCCCTGGCATTTCTGTTGCTCGCTGCAGTTCTCTACGTCATTGCCGGATTCACCACGGTCGCCATCGGGCGCCATGCCCGGCTTCGAGAACTAGGACTCTGGGACTGTCTGGGACTGATGTGTTAATTCTGCCATCGCGACATCCTGTCCTGCGCTCTTCATCAAGGGAGTGAGGGCTGGAGATTTGCAGTTTTTGTGCCAAAAAAGTGATACCTCCCAGCAGTTGGCTTATCCAGCGGTTAGCAACGAAAACTCTAAGGAGCGAACCAAACCCCTAAACCCTCCGGTAAATTGCGAAAAAACTACCCACCCCTCTCACACCAACTCGAATGCACAGAACGATTTCATCTTAGAAGGCCGAAAACTCCAAAGAGCGAAGCGAACCTGAAGACCGGAAGGTCCATCTGTAAGCCCGAAACCGTAGATCCGACACCAAAGCCGTTTTCTTGGGGCGTCACTCCTGGACAGCACCCGACGCTGAGGACTCCAGGTGTATTTCACCAACATACCTATGTCTATGTTTATAGCTTTCCGATGCTTCACTGGCGAGTGCGCCGCTCGTCTCAACAAGCCACTTCATCTTCATCGTCAAGTCGGCGGTTGAGCTTGGCGGAACTTGTGGTCATGGCCACTTCGGTAGCCTGCACATTTTCCAGTCCCCTGGACGTGGACACTATCAAGCATCTGGTCTCGTCCCAGTCATCGTTTGCCAATTGAACTTGCAGGCGTCCTGTCGATGCGGTCCGCAAATTCTTGCTGGTTCATTGTGGGGTGGTTCGAAGACCCAGATTGAAGCTTGTTGCAATGGGTGGGGAGGGTGGGCTTGCAACCGGGGACTGAGGTTATTCTTACCAACACATACACTGTCGCAAAGGTGGATGTTTGCAGTGACGTATCCTAAGCTCGCCAAAAAAAGCGTCCCACTCAGGTCACTGATGAAGGTCGATCCATCCCATCAATTCTGACGGACGAGTTCGGTGTGCCCTTTGTGGCGCGAGCTGAGGGGAGCATTGTGGGGCAGCATATGGGACTGACTTTGCAGATGTGCGAGAAGTTGGTTTAGCGGGTCTACCTTTCGTTGTGCATGCGAAGTCGAGAGAGATGCCTCTTGCGAAGATTTGAAGAGCATCACAATCCTGCAGGCATGCTACGTTGCGAGTTACATGCTCGTGTCGATGGGCATTTTCAACGTGATCTTGGCAGTGTCCTGGTCCTTGACTTCGAGACCAAGCTCAATGCTTTGGACAAATATGTTTAACTCCGTGGTCTGTGTTGTTAGTGTCCTCGTAAACATCCCACAGAATCCCACATCTTTGGGTGCCTTTCCAAAGACGTAGAAACGTTCTGTGGCACGGCTGCTGAGGTTTATGTGGATATCACGATGAAAGCAGCAAAGGAGAACGACGCGGTCAGTGCGGAACAGCCCTTCTCTGACGTTGGCCCCCCTAAACCCTAAACCCTAAACCCTAAACCCAGAGTCGCGAACCGCTGCCCTCGCTTTAGCCGAGGTACGCTCGAGAGTCCATCCGCATCGCACGCGCAACCCGTGAGTTGCTGAAGAAGTTCGCTGCAGCCCATCACATTTTCCATGAGACGGAGGACAGCCTGTGGCGTTTCTGCTTTCAGTGTGTGTGTGTGTGTGTGTGTGTGTGTGTAAGTGTAAGTGTAAGTGTAAGTGTAAGGCAGGCGAAGCCTCAGGGACTGGAAACACACAGGGTTGATTTAGCAGATGAGAAGAGAAGGCCTTCAAGCTCACTGCACAAGATTTGTCCCATTCTGCCCGGCGAGCTCTTCGTTGAAGCCCAAACCTAGATTTTGCAGTTTGAGTCTAGCAGCTCAGTAAGGCCATCAATCGGCATGTTTTGTGGAACTTGGTGCGATAGTATTTCTCCGCTGATATGTGTCGCCTCTTGGACAGTCTAACTGAGCAAAAGCTACGCGAGGATCATCATGTCGACATGTCTCGGCTGACGCTCACACCGTCTGCTACTTTGCTCACAGACGATGAGATCCACGAGAACATCCAGATAACGAAGGACCTGTCAAGCTCATTCTTTTTGGCAGAAGGGGTTCTCGTAAGTGGATGGACGGATATGGACTGATGCGATACCATGAGGCACTTCTTCCCCAGAATTCGCATTTCTGCAACTATCATAGAATCCACCCCGGTCGCATATTGAGCATGGCGAGCACGAGGTCCAGCATAAGCGTCCCAAAGGTGCTGCGCCATGGGAAAGCATGCAGAGGGTAGCCGAGTGCCCAAACCGTTCCTCAACAGCTTTACAGGACCTTTTCCTTCTGGTGATCCAGGATCGAGGCATTCGCCCTTGCAGCACAGCAACATGTTGCTGCATGGCCACATCTTGAAACGAAGCACACGAAGCAGAAGACAGAGCGGTTTTTTTCGCAGCTCTCTGTGAGGCGTGCAGGGTCTCATGGACGAGTTGGAGCTACCACAAGAGCGAGCACGGCTCTTCGAGGCGGCCCTCTCCCCGCGACCCGTCATAATCCTGCAATACGTGAGACCGAAGAGTTGAAACATGTCCAACCTCATCGACGCTCTGCCTGCTCGCCCAAAAAAGCGCATGTGTAGTAGTTTAGTTGGAAAAGATCTGTTCGGACAACCAGTCTTGGCAGCTTTCGGAGAAGAGCCATTGGTTGGGCATGTCGTCGGAGATTCATCATGATGCGACTGTGCGAAACATTACATACCCATAGGATAATAATCGACATGAGGCCGTGTAGTCACTTTACTCTTTAAAACCGAGCTTGCCGGTGCTACTCATGTTGTGCGCTCCTCTTCCAGGTGAAATGCACTTCGGTACCTTGCGGGTAGGGGTGTTCAGGACTTTTACAGGAATCCAAACGATCGGAATTTGCATGTCGCCGATGTGCATCGAATAGAGCAAACACAAGGTGGGCTAAGCCTTGCAATTCCAACAATGATTGTTTCGGAGGTCATCGATGCCGACGGTAGCGGCACACTCCATATTGCCGAGCTGGTGGGGGACTGCATGGAGTTTTCCGTCACATGTAGATTCACTTGGTGAGACCAGGTGTGGGATACCTGTCATGCGAAATGGCCCAGCCAATGAGCTTGCGAAATCATCAGGGATTCTGGAGCCCTTCACGTTGACCAGGGCTGCAGTCAAAACAATGAATTCGGTGATCTTCGTACTTGCGTCCAGGGAGCGGGCTCAGCATTCGACGGGGTCGTACTTTCAGACACCCAGATTTTGGTCACCACGACACAGTTCCCAGTGCTGATAGAGCTGTGGCTGTCGTTACGCGCGTACCTGGGCCTCGCAATGTGTCGCATCGCCACTTCAATCTACAACGCATCACGTGCGGTGGACGAACCACCATGTTATGGAACTGAGCCTTTAGATCATGGTGTCCTTTGTGAGGTCCATGGTTTGCTGAAGATCCGCGGCGAGGCCAACAAGAGCGATCTTGTAGCGCCGCTGCACCTCGCCCATGTCAACGGAAGAATCCGTGGATTGGTAACATGGATGGTGTTAAAGCTTCGAGCACCAAGAGGTGCGAGCCTTTCTGAGGCTGGCGACCCAGTCTGTCCAAAATATGGTCGCCGACCTTCGAGATTCGACGAGCACCGCCTTGGAGGCCGAAAGACCACAGCATAACCTCAAGAAAAAGTCCAAGCTTCAGCTCGGACCTGAGGCCATGCAGGCCGAACTTCTTCGTCAGCTACAGGAGCCCCGCTTTGTCCAACTCGGGTGTTGCTGCAGACTGCGCAACCTCGGTTTTTGTGCAAGCTAGGACGACTTCATGATCTGAGTGGTCCCTTCTCAGCAAACAACACACGGCCTTGACATTGCAGCGGAGCACCAGCAGGAGCTTCCACAGCGGATCTATCTCCAGAGTGCGCCCCATGGCACTTGCTCTTGTCCGAGGGTGCACACAGAGGTGCCGCTTCCTAATTCGGAAGCTTGTCTCCTGCTCCAGTTTTGAGTTTTTTTCCGGGGTCATTACTTTACCTTTCAAACTCGGGTGTAAGAAACTAGCTGTTTGTCTTTACCCAGCTTTCATTGCCTCAATCGGCAAGCGGCAACCTTGAACTGGAAGATACTGTGTCAGAGGCTTTGCAGAACATCAAACCGATATTAAGTAAAGGGGAAGGCATGCACGCTTTGCAGGCTGCAAGATCGGCGATCTTGAGCCAATCACCAAGCCTGGGAGCTAAAGGGCATCTTGTGCTGCAATTTTGTCAGTCTCAAGCCTACTCCGAGCTTTCAGGAGTCCGGTCGTTCATGCAGTGTCGAAGGGCTTGTGACATTCCAGCATCAGGCATTCACCATAATGTGTCTGCGACCTGTCCACATGGATTCTATAGGGCATGCTAGGCGTGTGGGCATTTTACTCCACGTCTATCCATAGCGTATTCCTCACAAAGCGACGGGATTGGTTCGGCATTGGAATCCTTCTGCTCCTCGAGTGCGCCCGAGGTTGGACGTGAAACCGCCACGACAGCCGCGAGTCGTTGAGAGAGAAGAGGAGCCCACTCCACACGAGCAAAGCTCCGCGGGGTAGGAGTGCCTTGGACTCCGAGATGCTGCTTTCTACCGTGCCACGGGGCCCTAAGTCCGAGAAAGTCAAGCTGGTCGGCGCGAAGTTGGAGCCAGGATCACGTCGGAAAGGAACAGAGCCCGAGGTTTTGGTCCTTGAAAGCCGCGCTGAAGATGGCTTCATCAGCTTGAAGCCAAAGAGTTTCTCTAACTATCTGTGTTTGCCATCGCATGGCCCCCAAAAGGGCCGCGGAGGGGGTTATCACCGCTCGGCAGAGCGCCTCCCACTCCGCACGCAACCTTAGCTGCGATTGAGTGCACAAGAACAGCGTAAGAAAATGCCAGGCTAGGGCTAAGAATCGCGGGGGGCGGATGGTCCGGCTGCGTGGAGGATCGTGATCATAGTCATGATGTACTCACGTGTCGACGTTTCGGGACGACACGCTTGCCTAATTAGATGTAGAGCTGCACTTGGGACATGACTTTCGCTCCGTGGGCTGGGGCCGGTTCAGGGACTGGCCGCAAGTTGGCAGACCTGAGATTGACGAGTAGGGCCCGCTGTGGGGTGAGCGTGAGGGTTCACGGATTCGGTAGAAGCGCATTGCTGTGTGTAGCCAGTTTATGACAAAATTAAAAGTAGAGAGCAGTGCGCAGAAGAGATCACGGTACCCGGAGCACCCCGAAGCAACTGTTCTTCTCAATCTTGAGCCAGGTTGCAGAACTCTTGAGTCGGAATTGTGCTGCCGATTTAGTAGGTTGCACTGGCTTGCCTGCTGCCCACACTGACACATCTTTGTCGGGGCAGGCATGCTCACTGCTAACGTCAATGTACACTCCTGTCCCAAAGTGGACGATGCTGAAAGGAGCAGACAAAAATACTGACAGCATGAGCGCTGGGTTGCCAGGTTAGCATTCTGCACCCACCAGCAAGGCTTCCCTTCCTGCTGAGTAAATCTGTAGATTTGTTGGGCTTAGCAAGGAAGTCTTGCTGGGCACATCTTCGTGTTGCTGCGGCACTGCAGCAGCTCCCCCCACTCAAGAATCAGGACAACCATGGGGCACGGTACACACAATGACCTTTGTGCTGACAATCGGGCTATCATTCTCGTGCCTCCTAGGCCTTGGCATCACCGCGGCTCAGCAGGTGCCGTTGTCGAGCAAGTCGAGCAGATTGATCCTGGCAGAGGAGCTCCTCATGCCACTGTTGGGGCTGAGCCCAACAACGACAGCAACCGCAAGCACCGCAGGATTTAGCATTTCAAGCCTGGTGGCTTTCGTGCAAGCTGGAGGCAGGTATGTCAATGTACGGAGCAGCAGCCACCGGAAGTTGCGGGAGATGACCTTGGTGCTTGAAGAGGCAGGAGTGGCCCTGTCGGATCTCTTCGTAAGTTTGCACATCGATTCAGCTGACTTGAGCTACACTGGTACGATCCTCGCAGTGGAGCGGATCTTGCATTCCTTGCGCTTGTCGAAGTTGGATCTGGTCCTCGTCGGCCATGTCGACCTCGGAGAGGCTGGCGGGGTCGGTGTCGCTCCCTGTGCCGTCAGCGAAGAGGCCCGGGAGCTCTGCCTCGCAGGAAGTTTGGCGGCCGTGGAAGATCTGCGGCTGCGCGGCCAAGTCGTCGCTTCGCCGGGTGCCTTTGATTGGCCGTTGGATCAGATGCAGAGACTCTTGCCACTGCTCCCTAAGCCGGCTGCGATGCACCTGACCTTTGACAGCTTCGCAGGCAGCCATATACCCTCTTTGAAGCTGTGTCTGATGAGGGGAGTGCCAGTCATTTTCAGCGGCTTTGTGGAGCAGCCGGGCCGACTGGTTTTCCCGATGCTCCTCAGCGAAAAGAACTCCAAGGCTGCACGGCAAGGTTTCGCGCAGCGGCTGGCCGTCCTTGCGACTGCCGAGTGGCTGAGAAGTAAGGGTGTGGCGGTGCTGGTGCCAGGCAACTTCAACTCCGCACAGCTGGTCGATATGATTCGGACAGTGGCGGACGGCGTGTCCGAACAGAAAGTCTTTCTGGACGAGGCTTTGCAACAGCACCTCGACCTGAACTTCTGGCCCGGAGATCTTCCGAGGATGTATACTATACATTTCCAGCCTGGAGCAACTTGTACTGCAAATCTGGAGGTAATGAGCGCCAGGGAATGTGGCCTCGCCATGCAAGAGCTGGATAAGCCGGGCGATGTGGTTACTTCTGGGGCTGTGGCCCGCGGGTGCACCTTGTATTTTCATGATAGATGCTCAGCCCTGGAGTGCGCAGAGGCACAATTCCGAGCTGAGGGCCCAGCTGCAAGCGATGCTCGAACAGAGCGATCAGTGCCAGTATGCCAACTCGACGCAGATGAACCTCCAGAGCAGGGGAGAACCCTGTTTCTGTCTATGTGCATGGGTACCGAATACTTTGACAAGTTTTGCGCACCCTTTCTTGGGTCTTATCGGATGGTGTATGGAGGCTTTCCCAGTGGGTGGCATAGCATGAGAGTGTGGACGATCGATGTGGACGCCTCCCATCTAAACCGTGCAAAAGCTTTGTTTGCCGGCGTGCATTTTGAAGAAAGTAGCTTCGAAGTGCTTTACCGACGCTTTGCGGGTTCGGGCTTGGAAGTCTTCCTGAGGGAGGAGGACCAAGACAAGACTGACGACAGCAGGACAGGCTGCTTTGAGTGCCAACTCGGTTCGACAGAGTTCTGTGATTGCGATCCTCGTGTACGCGACGAGAAGGTCATGTTCAACAATATCTTTTTTCTTGAATGGGTTCTGTCGCAGGTCAAGCAAACGGAGGGCCTGGGATTCCGGTATGTTGTCGTCATCGATTCGGACATGCTGTTTGTGCAGCAGCTAGCCAGATTTCTCCCCCGGGAGCCTGCAGCTGAGTGGGAGTATGCTTTCACATTTTACGACCGGCAGCACCGAGTTCCTTGGGGAAGCAATGAGGAAGTTGCCAAGACAAGGAATGCACATGTGCGCATCAACTCCGGCGTCCAGATCTTCAGATACACAGATGGCGCCAAAGCCTTTCTAAACACCCTCCTGAGGGCTACACTTGCTGCGGTGGATGCCGGACACGTACATTCCGAGCGGGACTTCCCGAAAGAAGTCCTTCGTGAATTCAAAGCTCCAGGTCAGGCTGCAATTGCCTGGATTGTTGGCCTGCAGAATTTGTTGTTCGAGGACTGCTTAGTTTGTTGGCCCGAAATCATATCTGTTGAGATCGAGGTGTCACAACATGAGAAGCTGGCAATGAAGATACAGGGCCTGCCCGCTCGATTTCTGAATCAGGCCGAGTCAGTTGGAGAGGGTAGTCTGGGACCTGACACACATATGGTCCATCTGAAGGGTCTCTGGTGGCGACTACTGCTACTAAATGGCACTGCTCATTCCACTGCAACTCGATGCCTGGGCTGGAACTCTGGTGCATATCAGCTCTGGGCGACTCTCTACCTGGCATGGCAGCCACAGCATGTTGTAAGTGCCCACGTGCGTCGGGGCCGGGGAGACTTCTGCCCAGACCCCTCCGACTGGATGCTCGGCCAGTAGGTGCGTTCGAGGCTCGAGGTCACCGATACTGCATGAAGCAAGCTTTGAATCCCACATGGCATTGAGAAAGAGTGATTCTGCTGGAAGCCAGCTCGACATGGGGCCTGCTGTCAGTGCTGAGAGTCTCAGTCCCCAAACTCGTCGGCGCTTTGAATCGGCCACTACTCCGGGTCCTTCGAGATCGCAGCACAGGAGCTGGCCAGACAGAGCTACCGCTGCCTCTGACGGATTATTCCGAAAAGTTATTGGAGTTGAGTTCCCGCGGCCATCGTACTGCACTGTACTGCGGGGACTTGCAGGCTTTTTCTCAACCAGTCTGGGCAGTGATGAATCTATTGCAAGGTTTGGCGGCTTCTGACCGGATCTGGGCCATGACAAATCGTACTGCCCCATCTGGCTGCACGCTTATTGACTCGATCCGCCCGCTGCTGACCGCAACAAGTCGTACTGCCAGGTCTTGATGCTAGTCTGACCTTCGTGGAACGTATTGCTGGGTTTTCGTAGTTCGATTTGATTCAACGTGGGCCTTGAAAGATCGCCGCGCCGGGTTGGACTGTTGATCTAGTTTTGACTAAACATGCTACTGCCGGCTTGTGGTAGCTTTTTTCTGGCGTTATTCCTATTAAGTCGTATTGCCTGGACTTAATAAGTCTGTCTCCTTCATGCTCGATTATGGTAAATCTGACTGCTTGGTTTCAGTGGTTCTGTCTGACTTAGCTTGGCTGCGGTAGTTTGTATGGTGTAACTTAGTCGGCTTATGGTGATTCTTTCTGGTCGAATCTAGGCCATAGAATGAAATTATTCCCAAACAGCTTGGCAAGAGTGGGTTCTCAATGTTAGGGGTGCTTGCTAATTTCCTATATTTAGGAGTCTTTCTATAACTCCTTTGCTGCCCCATTATCTTATGATGCGTCGTTCAAATTGAAAGGCATGATTAAAAGGCAACAAAATTGGGATATTGGATTGTTTCGGCTGCTCTATGCGCAATAATTAAAAAATATCCCTTTAGATTCGAAATTTCTTAGATTTTGAGAATTTCGGATCGAGCATGATTGGCTCATAGTTTCTTCCTATCGACATATGTTATTTAATTGTCTAGGTTCGAGCCTGGATTGAATTTGTTGATTGGATCGAATTTGATTCTTTTTTCTTCATTATTTGGCCCCAAAACGCGTTCTCATAAGATTTTCACCTTTTATGTTTGGAGAATATTAGATTTTTAACTCAGATTTGAAAATATTATTTCATTTTTTTTGATATCTTTTTCTTTATTTGAACCCAGATTTTTGAAAATAGGTTTGGTTATTTTCTTCTTTTAATCTTTTTCTTTATTTAGGAGTTTCCGAAAATAAGGGGTACCTTGTTTTGGGGTCTTTATAATAAGGATCCTACTATTTAGGGTACTATATTACGGTCCCCTATTTTCGGAAACCCCCATTTTTGACCCAAAAAGCGTTTGTGATTTTCTCTTTTTTTCTTTTTCTATGTTTTGAGATCCTAAAAGCGTTCTCGTCTTCCCTTTTTTATGGAGTGCGGGCTGGATTTAATGTAGATAAAACCCGGAATGAAGCTGGAAGGATTCTAGATTGAATCTAGATTCCCCGATTTTCCGAAACCACCGAGCACCAAGGCGAGTCTACAGATGCTTTGCATCAGTCGGCACTACCACTACTAAGGAGTCTTGAAGAAGAGCTTCGAAGTCTGTCCTTTACCTTTAGGACCGCGCTTGATCCTGCCATGGAAGGGGCAAGACTCCTTCAACTTCTTCGGCGTATCACTAGACCCGATGCGCTGCGTGCCACCACACACCTTGCACTTGTAGCAGAAACCAGTAAGGGTCATCTCATGAGTGCTATGTACAAGCGGGTACAGCGCACATAATGCATGGACATCGCGGCAAGGATGCTCAGCAAGAGGAATGAGGACCTTCCTCATTCGGTTTCTTGCAAAGATGAGGCCACATTCATTGCAAATGAGGCCAGTTTGGTGAGCTTTCCAGGAGTGTGGCGATACAACTTCCCCGCTAACAAGCTTACTAAACCACTCATCCCTGGAGTCAGTCCAACCTCCTCTGTAATTGACCCTGGGCCGTTCAGGGCCAGCAGCAGAAGTAAGTACAGGGTCAGTGGCATTTTTCTTGCCACGTGGCTTGTCCATCAGAAAGGCGCTGACTCTGCACTCAAGATCTTTCAAACACTTTCTTCACTTCTTCATCAATCTGAGTGTTGCGCTCTTCAAGTGAAAAATCACGCATGGCACCAGCAAGAGCCCCACACTGACTGTCTGCCTCAGCATTAATGCGCTGCGGAAAGCGGGACTGAAACTGATGCACAGTTAAATGAGATTCCAACCACGTGTTGACAACACGTCTACGATCATCATGAAGCCAGATGGCCTGCCACAGATCTCCATTGCCTATAGTTTTCCGCCACGGTCCTTCAAAGACCTTGCATAGGGGCTTGCAATCCACAGTGTTGTCCACATGACCTGTGGTTTTTTCCAGAAGCTGTAACAAGGCATACAATTCAGCACGATAGCTTGTCTGGCGACCTGAAACGCCACCTTCCATAGTGACAACAAGCGTAGCCTGGCCATCGCACAGCTTATATGCCCTGACAGCCCATGCAACATGCTTGAGGCGAGGATCTTTACATCCGCTTCCACTACCATCAGTAGCAAAAACGAGGCCATCAGCATAAATGATCTCGAGATTTTGCCAAAGACCAGTGCCCTTCACACCAGGATTGCTGGGCATCGCACGGGATATCCAGGATTTTGGCACGAGACCTCGCATCATGAGCATTTCTTTACTTGGGTCATGAAGCATCTCTTACATGTCATTGGGGATGGTCCTACCATGCTGGGCATGCCACGGACATTCCCATAAGATATGCATGAGTGTGGCATCCTGGCCACAACGGGGACACTCAATCCGCTGGTGGAGGGAATAACTCAGGTTGCCTTGCCACAGTGCTTGGAGCGCATTGAAAGGCAAAGTGCCTCGCTTGCGCATTTTCATGAGTTGGTGATGCACAGTGAAATCCAAGCCTATAACAGCAGCACTGCAATGCGGTTGTCGAGCAATACGTTCCAAGCGAGCCTGTTGTACAGTGGACTCAAAGGTATCCTGAAATCGCGCTTCTTCCACAGGGTCCTGCCACACATGTGTAAAAACGTGCTCTCGCCACACCCAAGTGTGCAAAGCTTCAGCCTTCCACCCCAGCTGCATGAGCACAACTTGCGTTGCCGCAACGGGGCCTGCCACAACCATCCAAGGATGTGCAACACGTGTGAGGCGATCCCAACTGGCCTCCCAGGTCCTTTCACAAGTGGCCGAAGCATTTTGCGGCCACAGGCGGATCACTTGCAGGCATGCCGCAACCTGTTGCTTGCCTATGCTTGCCAAAGGATCTTTACAAAGGTGCGCAAAAATCTCAAAAACAATCTTCGTGCTACCTTGCTTCTGTTTACCCAAACTTTGCGCCATGCCACGCCTAAGAATGGACATCCTTTCAGGAGGAATGCCTTGCCCTTGGTGGTCCCAAATGGATGCAGGAGCAATACTACCACGGAAAATGCGGATTTTCACAGCACTGGGTTGGACCCCAAGGGCACGGAACCTAGCAGCTCTTCGAGCTCCTTTGGCAAAACGGTGCAATTGCTATCTGACCCGGTGCTTGCGTCCTCCAGAGCTGTCAACTCCTAAATCACGCATCTAGATTCCCCGAACCCAGGTTCAACCTGGGTTGATTCTAGGTTTAATTCTGGTGAGTCTGATTGAATCTGGATTGAATTTGGATTTGAATCTGGGATGAACCTGGGTTGAACCCGGGTTGATTCAAAATTCTCAATATTGATGTTCTCCCCCCCACCCCACCTCCTGAGCCTCGGAGAGTTCCAACCTGGGTTGAACCTGTGTTCGACCCCCCCCCCGACCTTCTTTCCCCCCTTTTCCGCATACAAAAGAACAAAGCCTTGGAAGCTTTCAAACTCCCTTCTATATAGAAGAGTTCAAATCAAAAATATTCTCTTGAGAAAAAGGTTCAATCAGCTTCGAATCCAGGTTCAACGATTCAATGCAGGTTCAACCCAGCTTCAATTAGATTCGAATCGAGATTCAATCTAGAATCAAGGATCTGAATATCCATTCGAGAATTGGATTCAATCTGGAATCAAATCTGGCACGGCATCTAAGATATGGCTGGAATTGCAGGATGGGACGGATCTGTCTGTCTATCTATCTGTGTGACCATCTGTCTGTGCATGTATCTATTTGTGTGTGTGTATGTCTGTCTCTGAATTTGTGTGTCCGTCTCTCTGTCTGTGTCTGTGTCTGTGTCTGTGTCTGTGTCTGTGTCTGTGTCTGTGTCTGTGTCTGTGTCTGTGTCTGTGTCTGTGTCTGTGTCTGTGTCTGTCTATATCGGTCTGTCTATATCGATGTGTCTGTGTCTGTCTGGTTGTGTCTGTCTATCTGTGTCTGTGTCTGTCTTGTTGGGTCTGTCTATATGTGTCTGTCTATGCATGTCTATCTCTATTTGGGTCCATCTATCTGTCTGCGTCTATCTATTTGAATTTATTTGTCTCTGTCTATCTATATCTATCTATCTAATTCTCTCTCTCTGTCTGTCTCGCTTTCTATTTGAATATATCTCTTTAGATAATATTTGGATCTTTAATTATTTGATTATTTGACTAATTATCTAGATATTTATTTATTTATCTCATTATATTTAGAAATTTCATGGCCTGAAATTTTTTAGATAAATTATTTAAAAATGGTTTTGAGATAGATATTCCTGAGAAATTCATAAAGATGATAAATATCATAATAATAGATTCCATTGAATCATTTCAATTTTTATTATGATTTATAAGATAATAAAGAATCAATTTAAGCATATTTAATTCAATATAGATTTTTATGATATTCTTATATGATCGATTCGCCTATAATCATTTCTTATGAGATATTGAATAATTCATATTGATTTTAATCTCAA